TTGGACCCGTTTCAGTACATTGAAAATGGCAAGCACGCGTTGTTTATCTCCATATGTAAATCGACTAGACGTGCAAGCCTATTGGCCCTTTAGGACGACTCATGGGACGCCTTTCGACCTTGCTGGTCGGGGCTCTCCATACAGCAAAGCTTGAATCTTCTCGTGGTTTACTTCTATGCCCCGACTTGATTAACCATTATCTAGGAACTTTCACTGACATATACCCGACACGAACACTTGTAGAGGTTTTAAACTTCTTCTGTAATAGTCCGACCCGAGGAGGTCAACATCTTAGGAGATGTGCATATGGTTCTGAGGTTACCTGGATTGGACCACGCGTACGTCACATCAGACCTCCATTGTCTTCCCGATCTGTGTCGAGAACATCCGGTTAAACCAGACCGTTGGGAGGTTGCACCGGCATCTTGGTAGGCCGGGGGGCAGCTGAACTGTTGAACAGTACAGCCTACCGGTCCATATGAAGGACGTATGACTCCATCGCTGGCCTAACATCGGGATTTTGATTGTATCTCGGACTCGCATCCATGTAAGCTTAACAGCTCATGCCCGAGGTGGCATCAACACGCCTCGGTCGAATTCTCGGCGAGAGGGAGTTTGTCTTTCAGGCAATGCTTCCGCTTGAGGTCGCTGAGTCGCAACAGCGAAGTTCTGGCCGCTTTGCGTTGGCTATTTTACCAGGACCGGGGTTTGGCAACCAGGTCGAGTTATAGTCGCCTCTCGGACTGGACGCATTATGTCGAGGAGGTTTTCACTTCGGATTTAGTGCAGCGTACCGCTCCGGATCCATCGCTTTCTTTTCTGGCAAACCGGTTTGGCTTCACGCTGCTGCGTTTAATGAAGGCAACAAATGTCCGGGGCGATCCCGACCCATATCTGCATGCGACCAGGCAACAGGTCAATTGTTTTCCTTAAGAAAGCTTATCAGCTCGGAAACGATACCTTAGGGGTTTGAGACAGTTTCCAATCTTAACACTCCGGCTCGATTGTGTGATCAGCCGAAGATGTGCAGAACGATCCGTCAACGGCGGCCGGGTAGAGGGATTTCCTGGATTCCGCGAGTCTATGTTTAATTCCTCCACTGGACCAGGGCCTGTGGCTCGTTCGGCGATCGCCATAGACTTGGCGAGCTGCAACATGCGAAATGCCCGTGCTTGCATCTGCAAACCGCTTTACCGTGCGATTCGCGAATTGCGTCTACGATCTGCTCACTGTACCCTAGCCTCGTTTGGAGTGGGGAACTTCATCTTGAGGTGATATATGGAGTGACGCCATTACAGTTCTCAACAGAGGTCGCCCCAAGATTCCATTACAAGGCCGTAGGGGCAGTGCCACGACCAAACTTCGATAACCCTAGTCACCGTCGTCGTAGTATCGAAGGTCGTGACTGTTAGCTGGCAAATCGTTCTTTGGATCAGGTGATCCCTGTAAAACGTTAGAGAGGATCGAGGCGGCTTCAGGTCGACCTCGTCTAGTTCTTCAATATCTGTCGAAGCGCTCTTGAAAGGATGGTTCACCGGTCGATTCCGTGTCCAAAAGCATTCTGCGACATTATGGCACCCTATCAGGGCGTGATCACCCAGGGGCGTCCCTTCATAGGATGGTGCAAGCGAGACTGCTGCTCCTTGTTCGCAAAAGGTGATCCGGTTCCTCCTTTCAAGCCTTTTGCGCGGTCGCTGCAAGTGTTCATACCTGATCGGGTCATGATATGCTTCGCGTAGCGTTACCTTTCTGCGTCTCCTACGCGGTTTCCCGCGAGACGTGCTCCGAAGAATTATTAACCTTTTTTATACTGTATCCTGCGATCCGACTCGCTTTCTTCTTCTGCTGGACTCCCTTGGTGTCTCTTTCTTGGAGAGTCTCAATGATCTCGTTGATGATGGCCCTTTCCTTGATGAGCTCCTCCTGATTGCCTACTTAGAGCGTGGCATTCATCAGTTGTGATTCCCGTTTCCTATGACAACGACCTTATTTTGCTGGTTACTGGATAGTAACAGGGGATTTTCATGTGTTCGCGTTACCGAGCAGGCTGCCTCCTCGATTTTTCAAGGATTACCGATTCGGGCCACGGTCAACGGAGATGGTATTGAGTTCGTGTCCACGGTCCGACGAGGGACACGGAGCATAGGACTTTTTGTGCTACAGTTAGCAGTGGTGTCTTCTCATTTTTGACTGATCGAGCTGTCCTTAATTGGTCCTAGCTCAACGTCTCTTCTCGAGCAGCTCTCCATTTTCCTTCCTCCCGACCAGACATATGATTGAAGGCCGTGATCGCGACGGCGGCAGTCTGCCAGATTCTCTCATCGGAGATATTTTTTCTGCAAGCATTGTAAATACGGTGAGGGAAACATCGTACCCTAATACCTACATTCTTCTTCCAACAAGGTGCGTGTTTGCCCGGGCCGAACGCACATGCTCCATTATATGTATCGGAATGGACTCTTCTGGGCCTGAGCCACCTTGTTATTCCGCTGTGCAACGTCGATGTAACGATTGCAGGGAGTTCATTCTCTTCTTGGCCTTATGTTGCTGAAGGGTAGTCAAGGCCAAATCAAACACTTCCGTTGCTTGGAAATGCCGTAGGAACTCATGCTCATATGGGCCATGACCTGATCGCTCTCCACGGGGGGGGGGGGGACCTTTTTTCCCCCCCCCCCCCCCCAGCTGGGAGCGACCTTAACCACACGTGGCTATGCGAAGTGTAGCGTCACGGCCCCAAACAATGAACAGTCTACAAGGTCTGAAAAACCTGGGGGTTGAGCTCCAATGCAGGTCCGTGAACTCATACCAATGATCGGCGGTCCATGGTTCCGCATCAAACGGTCCTATGGTCGCCGGGGCAGATTGAACCCCGATGGGCAGTGGAGGCAGCTAGGTCAACTTCGGGAGAGAAACGGGGATGCAGAGGATGCACTGGGCCTTTCGTTTGAGCTAAGCTTCACCTTACCTGTCCAGAGGACATACAAACTGATAAATAGTACCGCTCAATCTGGAGGTCAACAGAGCCAATTGGGGGTTGCGTTTCATCACCCATGCATTTTGTGCCTTCGCGGATACGCTGGTTCAGGAAACGTACTGGAGGTAGACCTCCTCTTGCCCGCTGGCATTTCGCCGCACTTGACACACGTGCAGGGCTGTTCGTGGAAGGCGATGGATTGCGCAGAGGGCGTTTTTTTTCACTGACACTCGCCGGTGTGGTAACGAACTCCCCGCGAGGTGTAGGTACCACCCGCCTGATAACGATCAATGGAAGTCGTGTCACTGGCGGTGATAGAATCGTCGCGCCGGTATTTTTTGCTTGGGTTCGCCTGTGACGTGCATGGACAGTCTCGGGATTCACTTTTTCAACGAGTCCTAGCTTTGCCGGCACCCTGCTGGGGGCACGGTTTGTGTTCGCTGGTCCTTGGGTGCGACGCAGGCTTACCTTTTGCACTTGCGTAATCCCTTACTTACTGCGCTTGCAGTGCCCCCTCGCAGCACGGGACTATTTCCCTTGCCGTGCTTTCGTCGCGCCTGCAGGCTGTTTTTGGCGGTTGCACCGCCCCAGCATTTGTAGAGAACATGCCTTGGTCCAACGGGTCAACCTCTCTGTTGTTGACCGTCTGAAGAGTATTGTTCGAACCTATCCAGGTAGCTTACTGAGGCGGGGTCAAGCATGTCCGGGACTATCCACCGCAGCATTTTGAAATGGAAGATATCCTGGAAGGGATTATCCCCCGGGGTAGGGGAACCTCCGCGACAAGCTAGTTTGGCTTGCCAGGTTTCAAGATGGCGGGCCATTGTGTTGCGATAGGACCGTAAGGTGAAGATTCTCCGATGACGGATAAACGACTACATACAGGCCCTCCTTGCTAGTGCCAGAACTGTTGATTGCGGATTCTAACAACACACCAATCAACACGTGCGTAACGTTGGAGTTTGGTCAAGGAGCCAACACGTTATTAGGGTTTGAAAATACGAAATAAATGCATGAGAGCTTTTATAAAGTGGTTTGCGATGCTATGTAGCAATTCAACCGCCGATTGATTTGTATTAGTATTGTGGGTCGTGTCGCACAAACGCGGATGAACTTACAAATGGATATGGGAATAGTTTAATACAACCAGTTTTTCTAGAGAGAGAGTTCAAAGTGTAAAATGCGAAGCCCTTAATGAAGGGTACTTCCTCTTTTTCTAACGGATGAATGCATGTAATCATCATTAAATCCATGGGTGGTGTGCAATTTCAGTGACATAATCCAGTCTTGCGTCCCCGATTTGTCCATTTCACTAAGCTATTTCACGCGATTTGGAGCAAGTAAACGGACACGGTGGGAGCTCCGTAAGATTTGCAGACCTGACGTGCGCTTAACCGTTCTGAGGGAGTAGGGTCACACTTCATCCCCATACGGTGACTCCCACGTTAGGCCTTGATTTCCCAAGTCATAACATTTTGGGGGATAATTTTTTTATCAATATCAATACAAGCTATCTAGTTGCTAATTTGGTTTGTAATTTATTTTTATTTATTTATTTTTTTTTTGTTTTTAGGGCTTTAATTTTTATTCCTGTATTTTTAGTGTTGGATTGTACAGAGGAGTTAGTTTAATGGCTGATACAGGAGTTGAAATTGTTCAAAGAGCATTGAAGGACTACTCTAGTCCTATTGTTGAAGGGTGCTATTCCAGCATCAGGAGGCCACCAGTTCAACCAAATACGTTTGAAATAAAGCTAGCAATTATTCAACTGATATAGCTTGCGGTTCAATTTGCGGGGTTACCTAATGATGATCCCAACTTGCATATCACTAACTTTCTGGAGCTCTGCGACACATTCAAACACAATGGAGTATCCGATGATGCGATTAGGCTTAGATTTTTCCCATTCTCTCTTTGGGATAAAGCTAAGACTTGGTTGATTTCTTTGCCGTTAAGAAGTATCACTACATGGAATGAGTTGGTTCAAGCATTCCTTACGAAACACTTCCCACCTGTCAAGTCTGTTAAGATGAGGAGTGATATCACTAATTTTTTCCAGCAAGATATGGAGTCACTCTATGAAGCTTGGGAGATATTTAAGGATCTCTTACGAAGGTGTCCTCACCATAGGCTGCCAATATGGTTGCAAGTGCAGACGTTTTATAATGGGTTGCTGCCAAATATACAAGTGATGATTAATGCTGCAAGTGGGGGAGCTTTGAATTAAAACTCATTCTCTAACATGTGAATTTTGTTTAAGAAATCATTTATCTGGAGATTGCCAGGAAGGAAGTTTGTTTGCTCAACCCGAGCAAGTGCATTATGCCAACAATTTTCAAAAAGGGCAAGGGAATCCATACTTAAGCACATATACTCCAGCATGGGAAAATCATCCAAACTTCGCATGGAGTAACAACAATGAGCACAAACCACCACCAAGCTTCTAACCTCAAGAGAAGAGATCTAATATGGAGAGTGTCCTCACTAAATTCATGGAGGAGTTAGGAAAAAGATTTGACAAGAATGAAGCTCAACTCCAAAAGTATGAAGTTTTATTGCAAAACCAATTCGCTTCCATAAGAAATCTTGAAACTCAAATGGGGCAAATCCATAATATTTTAGCGGGAAGAGTTCAAGGAACATTACCGAGTGATATCGATAAGAATCTGAAGGAGAGAGTCAATGCTATCATGCTGAGAAGTGGTAAGGAGTTGAAGGAAATAAGGAAGGAAGAAGAAACAAAAGAAAAACTCGAAGAAGGAAAAGAAGGCACAGGGACAGAAATTGACAAAAATGCCCATGTTGCGACGAACGATGACAAGACCCTCTCGTATCCTCACAGAGTGCAAAAACAGAGATTGGATAAGCAATTCGGTAAGTTCATGGATATGTTTAGAATTTTACACATTAACATTCCTTTTGTAGACATGTTGGAGCAAATGCCGAAGTACGCGAAGTTTCTGAAGGAGATTATCACCAAAAAGAAGAGGTTTGAAGAACATGAGACGGTGATGCTTACGGAAGAGTGTAGCGTGTTGTTATTGAAGAAATTACCACAAAAGCTCAAAGATCCAGGGAGTTTCACAATTCCTTGCACAATAGGTAATGTTCATTTTGAAAAAGTTTTATGTGACCTAGGGGCTAGTGTTAACCTCATGCCATTTTCGATTTATAAGAAACTAGGCCTAGAGGGAGTAAAACCAACCACAGTCCATCTTCAACTAGCTGATAAGTCTATAAAATACCCCAGGGGAGTAGTAGAAGATGTATTGATCAAGGTAGATAAGTTGATTTTCCCGGTGGATTTTATTGTTCTTGACATGGAAGAAGATCGGGAAGTACCTCTAATTCTAGGAAGACCCTTTCTAGCTACGGGTAAAACTTCTATAGATGTTCACCAAGGGAAGCTAATCTTAAGAGTAGAGGATGAACAAGTAGAGTTTAATGTGTTTGATGTCATGAAGTACCCATCTTTGAGGGAAGATACTTGCTTTAAGATTAGCATCCTTGATGACAAAGTAACAGAAACCTTAGAAGAAAACTACCCTAGCTCACCCCTAGAAAATTGTTTAGTCAACTCTAGGATTATGGAGGCTAAATTTGAGAGGGTAGATGAACAACAATTGAAGCCTTATGTGTATGGTGGATTGAAGGATAGAAAAGTTTGGATTTTCTTAGATGATCCAGATTGAATGAGTCAAAAAGTCGAGCTTACGACTCTAATAAAGCGCTTCTTGGGAGGCAACCCAAGCTCTTTACTTTAATTTTGAGTTTTCTTTTGAATTTATTTTAGATTTTCGTTTAATGTGTAAGTTGTGATAACTTTGGTTTGGTTTGATATGTTAGTTGTTTATGTTTTACCCATTATTTCTGTTATACACACTAAATTGGCCAAGAAAGGTGCATAGTTTGTTTTCTTTTGACTAGATTCCTGATGACTATTGGATACAACAAACAATATACATAACTTCACAAGACTAGCTCCACATAAATGTTACGCACGAAGAGTATTATAGTTGTTCTCTTTGCACATTGAGGACAATGTTCATCTCTAACGTTGGGGGTAAGGAATATTTTTGGCAAAATTTAGTTTCATTCGATGGACATCATTGAATATCTTTTGCTTTGAATTATCTCTTTAAAAGCTTTTGGGTGGAATTGTTTTAGGTGTGTTGTAAGGTCAAAGAGTTAATGTATTTTGTTTTGTTTTGGAACTCATACATAAGTCAATGATAAGACCATGATTGTGAATTTGTGACATTGAGATTTTATTAACTTTTGCGTAATGTAAAGATGATAGTAGATGACAATTGCATTTAGTTATGACTTTCTTGGGAATGGTTTTGATTGGTTGAATAATTCGGAAACTTAGAGACGTTTTATATGTGTTTTTATGGCCAATAATTTTTTTTTGTGAAAATTGGGCATAAACTCTGGAACTCACTTGATAACCACTTGAGGCAAATCTTAGAATCTGCATTGCTTAGGATATGATTTAGGCAATTTTCTTTGGAACGATTGAGCCTTTCAAGCCAACCTATATTACTTTATCCCTAGTTAATAACCCTTTGAGCCTATTATTATACACTTGGTAAGCCTTATTTTTTGTTGTTGTAAACCCACTATAACTCACTTTGACGATGAAGCCTAAAACACTTTCCGACCCATCTTATTGTGAGAAACTTAATTTAGGGTGACCTTATAAGAAAAACTCATAAAAAGAAGTGTGGTAGAGGAAAATGAATATATCTTTTAGACCACAACCTGAGTATGTGCAATGAGATAGGTTGGGGGTTGTGAAAAGAACAAAAAAAATGATAGTAGAAGCAAGGTGAGGTAGATGAAATTTTTTTTTTTTTTTTTTTTTTGAGTTACTATCTTCCTTTAAAAAACAAAAACAAAAACAAAAACAAAAGAAAAATTTGGAAAAAAAAGAAAAATTTGCAGAAAAATAGGAAGAAGTCTAGGGAGAAGAACATGAAATGAGGTACTTTGCATGAGGGTTTGTGCTAATGTTGGAAGGAAGAGTTCAATCAATGTAAAGGGTAGAGAGTGAATGAGAAGGGAAGCAAGAAAGAGATTGTTCATGGTCATTTACTGTAAAATATTAAGTCTCTTACATTTTGTTAAAATCCTTCCGTTCTTTCATAACCATTACCTTAGCGTAACGTTACAACCATGAAAAAAAACCTAATGATCCGAGGTATGATTGGATTCTACATTAGTGGAGAGTGATTTGAAAAGTGAGCCTATGGAATTTGATTGCACATGTGTTTGATTTTCGTACTTTGCCTATGGAAGCTATGCATCAAATCATCTGAGTTTTTGGATGAATGGTTTGTAATGATTATGAGAGAGGTCAATACAAAAGTGAGTTGAAATTCACTTATTCTTTGCATTTGCATGTTGTAATTATTCAATTTGTTCACATTGACACAATTTTTGAGACGATTTATGTATGAATCCTAAAATGTTTGTTTGAGTCTTTAGTTTTGAGTCTAAGTGAAGTCAGGTTTGGATGTTTGTGGTATCATCGCTGGAAACCCTCACGAGACTATAACTAGTCAAACTAGGGCCGCCTAGGGGTTTAAAGGCTTGTTGCATATGCAAATGCAACCGTGACATCTACGGAAATGATTTAGGATAGTTTATATATAACTTTATTTTGCTTGCGTTTTCAAGCTAAAGGACTTGTTCTATCGCTTAGCTTGCTAGGACTAGCAGAAGCTAGTTGGGGTTGTGATAAAGCTTGAAATACACTTTTTTAGTATTTTATGGGGATTAATTGTGGGAAATTAGGCTTAATTTGGTAAAGTTACTTAATATTTTCATAATTGCCTTTTACATCACGGGTGTTTTTGAGTGTTTTTTAGGCTACTAGTGCAATGTTATGCTTGGATGAAAATCATGTCGGCAACGGAATGAGTGACGAGTGGAAACAAACGGATCAAGAATCGGAGTTGAATTGAGAAGTTATAGAAGTTGAAGTAAAGAAATTCTAGATTACGTTCTAGCTTAAGCATGCCTCGGTATTTTGAGAATATCATGAAATATAGAACTTTGATTAAGACATTCTTAAACCGTTGGAAAGCTATTCAAAGGGTTACATTTCATATGTTTACCACTTTTTCAAATTTCATCGTTATCGAGTTCAAAAATCACTATCTCTAAAGAATAGTGGAATGATGCGAGAGAAGTGCACAGCTACTGTGCCGTGGCACACTTTTTCCAGTAGCTACTGTGCCGCGGCATAGTCACGGAAGTTACTAACTTGTTATCCATTTTTAGGTAGGAGAATAGGTTAAGGGTTCTAAATCAAATAGAATTAGAAAAACAAAACCCTAACCCTTATGGGGTATAAATAGAAGTCTTTTAGTATTATGAGGGATCTTTGGTGAGAAGAAAGGGAGAAATTCTGCAGAGAAGAGAAAACGAAATTATGGAGCTTTGATTCACAATATGATAAGTTTTCCTTGTTCTTTTCTTATAAACTCATGATGAATGTTTTAATAAAGATGATTGTTTCTTTCATGTTTATAATGAACTAATTTTATTCTCTAGGGCTAAGATGCCCCAATCTCTTAATTTGTATTGATCTTTGATTGTTAATGTTTTTAAGAATTCTTCCTAAGTTTTACTATTTTTCCTAATGCTTTTGATTCTTAAGGGCCTAAGAATTGAATAACTAAGGGACTAAGTGAGATCGGAGATAAACTTAGTTGGTCTACGGTAGTAAAACTATAGGTTGAGCGAACGCTAAGATATGTTACCGCGATTTGTGAGGTTTTGGTAAACCCACAGAACGTAATGATCTCCAATTGCTTAAATCTGATTAGAGATAATTCGAGTTAGTAATTAGGGGTTAATTTGATAATGTTCGACAAATTTATGAAAATTTAAGGAGTTTGACCTGTAAGAAGAACTTAACAAAATTAGCATAAGTGATCAATACATATGAATAAGATTTGTGTGAAATCTATACCCTAGTCTAGTCCCTGTTTTTACCCAAGGTTTATTTTAATTGTTCTCTTTTTAATTTCAATTGTTAATTTTATTTAATTTAGGTTTTTCCTTGATAAAATTGGATTGATCAAATAGTAATAGGAGTTTAATTGGTAATTGATATTTAATTCCCTTGGTTCGTATACGTATTTATACACTTTATTACTGCACGATTTCGTATATTTGCGAAAATCACAACATATAACCTTTTACTTTTAATTTAATATTCTATAATATATGTATTGATCTCCTGGAATGTTGTTATTATAATTAAATTCTATTCACATTGTTGTTAGAATTCTTATTTATTTATTTTATACCCTATTTTTCTCATTATATATAATAATTCTCACATATAAATGATTCTCGCCAGACATTTCGAAATTTTTTAAGAGATTAATACGAATTGCCCCCTGGATTAGAAGCTCAGCCTTTGCTTATTATTCAATCAAATACTGCTTTGGCTCTGTCTATGGTGCTGCTTCATTGTTAAAAAATTAATTCTTCATTTGTTTTATAATTTCGAAAACGTCAAAATTTTGTTTTGCTGCATACATGCATGGGATTGAAATGCATTTACGTTGTCTTGTTATTAATTGTTCTTCCATAAACCTTAAAACTAATGAAAATTCAGAGTTTGACAATCTGGAATTTTGACTTTATCTTTGTTTATCTTTCTAGCGTAGAACAATATTGTTAGTTGTAAGATTTATCATAGACACTAATTATTCAAAAATTTCATAAAATAAAATCAGAAATATTATGGAAAATTAATCAGTAATTTCCTTTAAAGTTTCATCAAATCTGTCCCAAACCTTATTTCTAACATCACTAACGAAAATCTGAAACATGGTGTTAATAAATTTTGAACAGTTACGTACAAAATTGTGAGATTTTGTTGTATAATTAAGTTCTAATTATAAATTATTTTGAAAAGCTAGATACATTTTAACTATTAAAAATTTTGGTTTTTGATTTTATTTTTGTCCTATTAATCTTAATTGACATATGTAAGGTATAAACAAGGTTTTAATCCTTTAGATGAAGTATTCAAAGTAAGAAGAGATGAGAGATCCTTTTCAATAAGTGCATTGCCAAGATATAAGCTTAGGAGTACCCTGGGTTAAAATAAAATATTTGAAAGTAGTTAGTATTACTGTAATTGGCTTTGGTTAAAATGTCAGTTATCAAAGCAGTGAAGTAATGCGCACGTGTTGCATCTACACTATATTAAAGAAGGGTAAAACTATTTGTACAAACTCTTTATACAAAAGTTTGTACAAACTGATATGATATAAGTGTCAGTGATATGAAAATTTATATAACATTAATGCAATATTAAGTTTTGGACTTCAAAACCACATGATATTGTTATAACATGTAATATGTCACGTCAATTTATACAAACTTTCTTTGTACAAGAGTTTGTACAAATAACATTCCCCTTAAAGAAAGCCATGTGCATTCTTGTGATCAATGAACAGTAACAGAAAATATTTCGTTCTCTTTTCTCTCAAATTACTCTCAAGTTTTCTTCAAGTGTAGAATAACACCTTTCTGCTTGCTACTTTTAACTCTCCTCATTAAGGCCATTTTTGGTACCAGCTGGTATCCTTAGCTTAATAAATTTTGTTACATAACTTTTAATTTCATTATAATTTTATTAATTGACTAATTATTATGCATTAAAGTTTAGTTGTTATCCTTAAACTCATTAAAATGAATCAAAATAAAAGGAAAAAGAATAATTGACCAAGCAAATGCAAAATCACCGATTCTATTATCAACTAGATTTTCTATATA